CGCCACTTAGTCGATGATTTCACATGTTATTGAAGTTGAAGTTTTGAAGACATGTCAGACTGCAACATAATCACTTTACAAATCACCTTCCACAGTCGACACTTAGAAATTAAGCTGAAATTTAAAACTCGAATCAATACACCAATAATGACAATAATATTACAGACAGTCTTCACAAACACCATGTTTAATCAGAGCTAGCTTCCTTGCTTGCATGGCTCATCAAGAATACACAACTCTAAAACCTAATAGCAGCCTCATCGTTACATTTGTGCACATAAAAACTTTTACTGACCAAATGCATTTCCGGGGAGACACTACTCGAAAGAATCACAATGAACTAAATAGCTAACTGATGCAATGAACATGTTAAAAGAAAATAGCATACATTGGTATTGGGTATTACTGAATCTAGGTGCCACGACCTAGTCCTTTCCCATCATTCTCACCATATATATTTTCTCGAAAAAATTAAGGAATTATCAGTTATCACCACACGTCCCGTAAATACCTTCCGGTGGTTTGTAAATTCTTTACCATGCCCTCGGCTTGGGAGCTTGTTAAAGATCCCTGAAAATACGAGTGAGTCTAATTTTACAAACTGATTTTTTGGAGAAAGCACACATATAACAAGATAAATCGAGATAATACAAACACTGTTGTTATGCACTTATGCTACCTAGTTTAAATAATTTATATTATTCAAAAAATAAAATAAAAAAGGCACATTTCAAGATTACAAATACCCTCGACATATCATTCTAATATAAAGAGTAATTATGAAAGAACAAATGCAAAAAAACAACATGATATACATGTAGTGATATTAGAAAGTTCAAAACAAATCTGATTGATATGTGTGTGTGTGTGTAGGAAATAAATAAATAAATAAATAAATAAAAAAGACTAAGATACAAACCTTCTCTTGCACAATAGTGTGAAGAGTACGGTGGACATCGCGTGCCATACCCTTGGCATCCCCACAGACATAAACATAACCTTTCTGAGAGATAATATTCCAGATGTCGTCGGCCTATTACCCAATACATCATGTGTTAGTATCTAAATACAACACCAGTTAGACTTTGCTAATAAAATCTGAAAACACATTAAACCATTTTTGCAGTTGAAGAAAATTTGACCGCATAAACAACATATATTGGTGGTCGCGTTACCTTCTCCGCCATCTTGTGCTGCACGTACTCCTTAGTGGGCCCCTCACGTGAGAATGCAAGGACAAGCTCAGAAACTACCCCAGCCTTGGCAAAATTGTTCAACTCCCCCTCATAAATGAAATCCTGCAGTAATAAAAGTTACTGCAACCGCAACGAACGAGGATTTCGGGAATTATTCACGGCAATTAGAAAAAGTAAATTACTTACCATCTGACGGTTCCTACACCCAAAAAATAATAGAGCAGGACCAAGTTCAGCTCCAGATTCTTTTAGAGCTAGTCTTTCCTGAAATGAAAACAGATAAAATTAGTTGCAGATCTTTAATACAGAAAAAACTAAAAGGCGAAAAAAAGAATTGGAACATATACTAGTGACCTCAAAAGGCTGTATGGACACAAACCTGAAGGAAACCCCTGAATGGAGCCAAGCCAGTACCAGGGCCAACCATTATAATCGGCACTTTAGGATCAGAAGGTAGTTTGAAATTAGAGGTCCTCACAAATATAGGGGCCCAGCTGCAATCTTTACTTTCCTCCAAAGGCACGGCATTCTGCAAAGTGGTGTAGGGTTAAACTTGAGGCACAAGAATAAGTGCTTATAGTAACAAGCGAGCTGGGTAACCGCTGCTTAAAGTGGTTATTGATCAAGATATGTATGTTGAAACTGTTCGGGACTCATCAATAAAGCATTACCAGAATTAAAATTTGAAACATCCAGTAGTACACAGTTGAATTAGCTATCATCTCAGTTAGCCAAAAAACAACTTGGATTAACAACATTTTACTTAGGAAATGGAATATTACCTTCATCCATGTCGAGCACACGCCTCTGTGTATACGTCCTGTTGGTGTTTTCTCATAAACCAGAGCACAAGTCACGTGGATTGTTGATGGTGAAATCCTGGAAGAATATTTGGTACGCCCATAAGGCAAAGCTGGTCATCATTAACTCGTACGGAAAAATAAAAAGAAAAAGGAAAAGAAAAAACAAATGCCAAAACATCTTATTTTTAACAAAGTACGGATCAACATTGACGATTTGCAAACAAGACGACCTACTGCACAATTAGATAACGTATTGTTCTAGTTGTTGCTGTTGCAACGTATTGTTCTTGTTGGTGTTGTTGTATACAGTTCAGTACTTGAAAAAAAATTCAGAAGGAAATCCAATGACCAGCAAGATCGAAGTTACTCACTTTGGGGAGGATGAGATAGAATAAAATCTGGGCTGCAGGCGAGGAGCAATTGCTGCAAAGAAAACACCTAGAGGAGGCTTGGTTGATGGGAAGTCGGCCATGACCTCGAGTAAGCTTCTCTGACCTGCAACTACATACTGAGTGTACTCCTCCTAAAGCAATGAAGGTAATATTAATATGTATTTGTGAGAAAAATCATCAGGGTCCAATTGAATACTGAACGAAAATGAGTTAAAATGCCAAACTTGAGGCGTGACATATCCAAACCTTTCCGCTAGGGGACGCAATATATCTGAGGCGATCAGCTTCAGTTGGGTTGGAAGCATATGCAGCTAAGGCAATCAAAGCAGACTGAAAAATAAAATACATAAATAAATATAAACAGAAAATCGTTGAGATTAACTCCTTCCAGTTAACTTCAAGGAAAACCATAAGAAAAACATAATGATACAGGAAATCGGCATAACCTTTTTGGGAGCACTCAAGAGATCTGCGTATCGTGTAAGTGCTGTCCTTAAAGTGCAAGGTGGGAAAGGAGGTGGTAAGGAGCCTCCACTGATAGGGGTACCATCTTCTTTATCAGTGTGAATTGAGAAGTAAGCTTGTGGAGACAGGCCTAATAACTTTTCAGCTTCCTCTACAGTTTCGATCGAATTCTCACAGTAGACACCAACGTGGTCCCCTGTTTCATATCTGTGAAATATGACGAGGTAAGTCAAGATGTTACCCAAAGTTTTCAACCCAACATGCCATCATTTATGGTACTAATTAGAAAACACAATAAACTTTCTCTTTACTTTTCAGCTGTCACCTCCAAATATCAACAAGCGCACATACACACAAGCAGAGAGGAAAAAAAAAAAAAAAAAGTTAAAAACTTCATTAACATCTATCTGGCAAGTTACACTATTCAATCTCGTTAAACTTTGCGATCACAAATCATAACCAACCATTACTACAGTAACCATACACCACATCATCATTACAATTACCTCTGATATATTACACTCTGAAGCTCATTCTTATTCTTTGAAATTTATATCCACTACTATCTAGCAGACAAATAACAAAATAAAATAAAATAAATGTACAGGCAATTGCAGCCCAAACATCCTCCTTTCCACACCAATTTCAAAGATCAACAAAAAGAACAATATCAGCTCCAGCAGGCCCACCACTAAATCGAATACAAAATAGGCGCTAATAACTTACGCAAGTCCAGTGCTGGATATGTCAAACTCCAGGTGTGTGCAAGAACGTTCAGAAGCAGGGGTGTGAAGCTCTTTCTTCACAGCAACGTTTGCTCTGCAAGGAGAACGCACACAGGTCTCACACAAAAACAACTTCAACTAGATGAGAAGGAAAAAAAAGATCGAAAAGGAAGGCAGAAGGAAGTGCATACCTGCATGGATGCTGGGCATCATAAACAGTGTTACCATTAGCATGACCATTGGTTGAGCCATTTTCTGATGGTTTCCCATCATGTTGATCATGAAACACAACACGATACTCCAAAACTGCAGCGGTGTATGGAGTGGAAACAGTAGCATCTTCCTCATTGCGAAGCAATTTGTCCAGCTTGGGCCACAATAGCTCACGCCTGTACACCAAAGGAACAAAGCTAAAGTCATTTTTATATATCTCTATACATATGATCAGATCCTGGTGCAGAAACAATATGCTATATATGATGCTATTATCAGAAATGTACAATGCTAATCAATAAGATAACAATAGTAAGATCAACAGGATGGTAAAAGAAGGCCATGGGAATTCAATAATACAATTTCACGATCGATAATAGCATCACACTATTACATTTTATGACAAAGTGTCTAGTTATCTCCGAGCAAATCACATGCCATTTTTTTCTTCTTTTTTTTTCATTTTATTGACAATGGATAACAAATTAGAACCAAGTCTTGGCATGAGAAATACACATTAAGCTAAATACACTATATGAAATACTCTTACCATTCATATGCAATGTGATTTTAAAATATTGATAATAGAATAAAAATCCTCCATTGTGATGCCATTAATATTACACCCTTGATTAGCATTGCATATAGCTATTAATATCACATATAACATATTTTTAATTGAGCATGGTTCTTAGTTCCAACGCCAAAAACATTATTATGTATTCATATATATTCAGTTGTATGTGTACGTATTATATATAGATAGATATTGTGAGAGAGAGAGAGAGAGAGAGAGAGAGAGAGAGAGAGAGAGAGAGAGAGGTTATTAGGTGATGACGTGAGAATAATTACCATGCGGCAAAGTCATCTTCAATGCACTGGTCATCATCTCCAAGGCCCACTGGGACAAGCCTATTCCCTCCTGAAATCAGAAAAATGTAAGAAACGAAGAAAACAGAGGGGAAAAATAATGAACCAGCAAACATAAAATATACTGCTATGTTATGGCCCTGTCATTAAAATTTCCATTTCGAGACATAAGGTAGTAATGTTCTCCACATTGCAATGAAAGTCATAGTTAAGTAGGAGACAAGCTCTGACAGCCTTGCTGTATGGACACTACATTTCTGCATAAATATCTTATAAGTGAAATGTCATACAACGATGATTCAAATGGCTTTCTGAGAGAAGGACCAACAGCAAAGAAATATATTACAACATTCATACTGAAAAATAATACCACATTTTTCAAAATGTATCAGTAAAATATCCTTCATCCGAACTAGACGATTAATAATTGGGGTTGGGGTGTTCTCTGCCATATGAATGATATCTTGAAGGCTAATCAATCATCTTGCATGAACAAAATCAGCAGTAACAAAATAAGATTTCCATACCTTGCTCAAGCATAACATCATCCACCACTTTTGCAATCTGTAACCCAAAAGAAAGTAAAGTTCAACTAGACACGCCTTCTAGTATCTATGCACACTCAAGTATAACACAAGTAAAGACCTTATTGAAATGCTCGTATTGCCTGTTCCCAAGACCAAATACACCATACTTTAGATTCTTAAGCCAATCTCCTCTCTCTTGTCCCTGCAACACAAAGCCAAGTCAATAATTAAGACCGAAATTCACCCTGCGGTAAAAAGGGTTGGAAAAAAAAATTGTTAAGATGTTGCACCTCCGCAAACCATTTGTAAAACCTTGCCGCATTATCAGTAGGCTCCCCATCTCCATAACTGCAACCAAACAATTATACTAACTCAATAAATAGTTTCTGTACTTATACTACATTAAGCGTATCGATATCGTCACTCCTTCAAGCAATTATGAAATGGTTAGAAATTTCGAAAACAAATGAACGTACGAAGCCAGGAAAAAGAATGCTAATTTCTCTTTCTTCAGCTTCTCCTCATACTCGTCATCATCGGCAGCATAATCATCCTATAGCCGTATAAAAAAATTAAGAAAATGACTTGATTCCATTATAAGAAGTAAATCTCAAAATGTTAACAATAAACAGAAAGAACTCACCAAGTCAATTACTTTGAATTTAGCCTCCTGGTATCTAGCCTTAGCTTCCTCAGCAAATGCCTGCATAACAAGACAGTCAAACGATTATACACAAATATACCATCATTACAAACTCAAGAAAAAAGAAAAGGGAAAACAGAAATGAACAAACAGACAAACCAGACAAAAGATAATACAGTAGAATCACAAAAGTATTTTTGTCATTATCATTCGCTTTTCAGGCCCTTCAAGCTTGTGTCCAATTGCCCACTTATCTTTCGGGTAACTTAAAATGTTAGATTCAACATCCACCCTTTTCTATTTTTTTTTTTTTTTTTTTTTTTTTTTTTTTTTTTCATTTTTTCCCTACCTTAGCAAAGCCTTCTGCGGTACCAGTCTGCGTCCCAAAAAAGATAGAAACTTTCTGCTTGCCGTCATCAACTTCCTCAGGCTCCGCAGCCTTGGTCACCGTCAGCCTCGGCGGCTCCACCAGCTCCTTTCGAGCCGATCCCGACGCCCGTCTCCACACCAGCACCACCGCGCAGCCTATGAGCACAGCAACGGATGTGGTGAGCACCATCACGAGGTCCCTGTTCTCCAACAGCATCACCATCGCCGATGACGGCGCCGCCTCAACTGAGCCATCGAGATTCCCGCCCTTCAAGATCGCCGCCACCACCACGTCGAACACCGAGAGCTTCTCCGATGACGGTTCCATTACTTTTTTCAGTTCTCAACTGATTTCCAGCTAGAATTACAAATAGCCGGAGAATCGAGAACCCCTAGCTCTCAAAAACTGAAATTCAACTGGAGGTCGAATAATGAGAGGGGGGATGTGACCGCGATCCAGAGAGAGACTCTCCTCTCTGAAACTTGGTGTTTGAGTTGAGTTTGGTTGATCTCGTTGAGGAAATCGTACGCGTGCAGAAGACTCTGACTTTGTAGGCGAAAATGGAGTTTACATGGTGAGAAGAGCAAGAAACTGACGAGGGGTGGTAACATAAAATAAACTATTAAACAAACACCTACCAAGCTGGTCTGGTTAATCCCACCTAACACATTGTTAACCTTGGTTTGATTGAGCTCCAACTTTTGTTAATTTTAGGGCATACTTGTTTACCAAATAATCCATTCAAACTGAGTTATTTTGGTTACCGATAGTAGTGGATTTTAAAAATGTACTAAAATAATTAATAATAATTTTATGTAGGAGTATGAGATAAATTATTGAAAATAATAGGTAGCTAAAATTTATGTAAGATGATGAATAGCGAATTAAAATTGATGTGATGTGTAATAACGGTTAATTTAATTATATGAATAATATTAAGGATAGTAAGGTTAAGTTAAAGTTCGAGATGAATTAAATGTGAGTAAGTTATTTGGTAAACAAGCATGTCCTTAACATTTAATTCGTGCGGGCTGCGCATCCCAAAAATCAAAGAGAAGAGGGGAGTGGTCGGATAGAATTCTTGGTAGGAGGCGGACCCGGCTCCCATCAAATTTCTCCATCCAGGTAAGGTTAGCTACATATCTATCCAACTTCTCGGCTAACCGACCCTGTTGGGTCTCCCGAACCCACGTGTATGCATGTCCATCAGTTGCCACCTCTTGCAAGCTGTAGTTTAACATTCATTCATTAAAGGCCCGGCTAATGTTACAAAACCTCGTCGAGCCGCCCGTCTTCTCCGTCGAGCGAAGGAGGCAGTTAAATCCCCGCCGATGACCCAAGCTTCGGAGATACCGTCTGCTAACCGGGCCAAATCCGACCAAAGGTGACCCCTACATGTTGGATTCGGGCTGGCATAAACGAAAGTAACTAGGCACGCCTCTTCTGCCCAACAAATTTTGACATGGATGAATTGACGGGAGAACTCGATGATGTCCAGAGTCACTTCATCCGACCATAGGATCCATATCCCTCCTGAAAAGCCTTGTGCTTCCACACGGAAGGAGTTTTCAAATCTACTACTACGCACGAACTTATCAGCTTTCAGCCCGCCAATGCGAGGTTCAAACACAGCGAAAGTATCAGGTCCTCCATTGTCTTCATGTGCTTCCTCTCGTCTTATCGTCGTTTCGAGGACCTCCAGCCGTGGGTTTTTCTCCGTCTGTCTCCTGGTTGTCGCTCGGCTGTGGAGGCTCCAACGAGGTGAAGGTGGGGCTGGGCGGGGTCGTCCGGCTATCGACCGTTGGTCGGTGCGAAGGTTAGTTCCTCGCTTTCCCCTATATTTTCGTCTCCCTTGTGCTGGGGGAGGACTCCGGCAGGTGGTGTGTTTTTGTGCTGCCATGGTCGTCGACTAGTTTCCCTAGTGGTTGTCGACGGGTTTCCGGCTTGAAGTCGTGGGTGCTCTGGCCCCTTGGTTCTCCGTCGCTCCTGGGGTTGGGCGATGGGCTCTACTGGTGGTACTGTTTGGTGGCTCCGGGGG